AAAAGTGTGCAATGTTCAATAATAAACAATACATACATGCACAAAGACATATACACATAATTTAAACAAAGAAAGCACGTATCAAATTTGTGATCCCGCTTTCAACAAGATAGCATAAGCTAGTATTGAATAAAAAAACGCGGGATGGGTTTGGGTGTAGATGTTATCATTACATTTGTCAACATTACCAAACCACTCCTTCTGTTATGTATAAATCTTAGATGTCTGTATTTTAACGGATTTTAAAACCTTACTTGGGGCTATATAGTTTTTTTTCATGTGGGGATAGCAAGAGAAATATTATTGAACATTCGAATATTGGAAAACTCCCCACCAATTAATTTACAAAATTTAATTTTAGAACTTATTAAAGTGCATTTTGAGACTAATACGGTTAAGTTGGTGGACAAAATGTTATAGTACAAATAGATGAGACCAAATTAAACTTTAATGTTAAAAGCCACAGAGGTAAATATGCAGATCCTTGTTTGTGTTTTTGTATTGTTGATACCTTTCATAAGTTTGCCTTGGGATATGCTACTATAGTTGAGTCCCGTTCGGCCAATGTCCCAATTCCTATAATAAATCAAGTGGTTAAAGCCGGCAATATAATTCATTCTGATGAATGGAAAGCATATAGAAGTTTGGCAGACAATGATGCATATTATTACGCTACTGTCTGCCATTAGTGTAATTTTGTTGATCCTATATCAGGCGTGCATACCCAGTACGTAAAGTCTTATAATAACAGACTAAAAAGAGAAATCGAGGCCAGAAAAAGATCTAAGTATAATACAAAGAGAAAAACTTATATTAGAATTTATGTTTGGGGTGGGTGTTGTTAGAGAAAAGTTTATATCTTTTATTAAATTATTTAAAAATTATTTTTTTACTGCGATTGTAAAGAACCCGATCCAAAACATTGTCAATGTATACGCTTACAGACATTATTATTACGAAATATTGTATTAAAATAAAGATGTACAAGGTCCACAAATTTTAGCATATGTTTCGGGTCTTCTGGGGCAAACTGCCTACCATAATTTTTCTTTAAAAATAAGGGTTAAAAAATTAAATATACGTGCGAAAAATAAGCACTGTAATAGAAAAAGTCGGCAGTTAGGCAGTTTACGCTTCAAAAGCAAAGTTGTTTTAAATAGAAACCTAAGCAATTTTACTGTATATGTCTTTTTTTGATTTTATCTATAATATCAATCTTTATTTGGGGATAAATTTTAAAAAAACTTAACCCCAAATAAAAATTAGTGCTATAGATAAAATATTTTCGGATATGCATGAATTAAAAATATTTCTCCTGAATTATGAAATTATTTAACTTAATATACCTTGTTAAAATTGTGGTAACGAATGTACTATGGACAGGCGGACTGATTCTAGTAGCAAATAACATATATGTGTAAAAAAAATATTGCCTAAAAAAGATGTCCATTGTTTAGATCAATAATACCATTAACTAAAGTCGTGCATTTGATCTATTTTCTACTTCTAGATGTTAATTAAAATCAATTTGCTCATTTTTGTTTTTTTGCAAATTTAACCATTTCAGGGTATAAAAACCTCCTCATTGATTGTGTTAAACACAATATAATGCAAAGATCCATCATTGTGAACGGATAAGAAGTAATTGTTGAAGTAGATGAAAGTGTTTTATCACGAAGAGGCATTATTCGAAGCTCCACATGTACGGATGATGACACTAAAGATACTATATGGGTTCTTAGAGGAATAGATTGAACAGATGCCAGAAATTTTTTTTGTTAAGAACTGCCTACAGAACCATACAGTCATTAACTTCATCTATAAGAGGACTGAGTTGCCTGTTGGTATTGTCGATACAGACGGCCATCTGTCGTATCCAGCAACTACTACGAATCTTGTACTTTATCATGACGTTGTTAACCACACAGAAGGGTTTTGTGAAAGTGATGAGACACATACCAAAAATATTGAGAGGTTTTGGGCCCATATGAAAAGTTCAATGAGAAAAAAACACGGTTTAAAGCGTTCTAGCATAGACGAACGGCTTATTCAATATACCTTTAAAAGAAGATATTTAATGAATAAAAAACGCGAAATTTTTTTGAAACTTATATCGGTATACTGCGATTATTTTTTATTTAAATAAATAATTATTTTTTTACCCCTTCTTTTCTTTTTTCATATTTAGGCAGTTTGCGCTTAAAGACCCCCGTTTCTCTTATCAATTAAAGAATAAAATTTCCAAAAATTCATTATATGATATATTAAAACCTTTGTTATGGAGGTCTGAACTTTTATAACAATATATAATATCCCGAACCAAACGGTTAGTCTCATATATCCCCGCCCTTTTCTCATGACTTTCGGATCATAATATCTTTTTTTCATCGGTCTTCCATTCTTTAATATTACTATATACTAATCACCGGTACATCTTCTAACAACTTTTCTTTCGTCTAGAATCCTTCCTTTAGTATACTTGCTGCATCCAAGCAGATTTTTATTTTTAGAAATTCTCATCCACCTATTTTTCTCAAATTTCTCGCGAAAACGGTTTTTAAATTCATTGGCATATTTCCCATCAAAGCTATCATCTACCATTACCTTTCCTGATTTATCATTTACTGCTTCTAATGGTGTGCATCCAGTTTCACTGTAAAAAAAATGTATTATACTTTTCTATTGATTCTGCTAATTTGTCGATAAATATTTTCTCATTGCTTTTTAATATACTTTCTCTGATTGTTCTTATAATTTTCTCAACTTTACCATCGCTTGTGTACAATTCAACACTTACTTTACAACGATTCCACATAATCTAAATTACTACACAATTTTCTTAGTAGATCATTTTAGGATTCTTTAACGTTGTCTGTTATTATTGCCTCTGATTTTTTCCCATTGTCTACATAAATCTTTTATAAATTCCACCACACCCGAGCACCTTTGCTTCTCAATGACCGAGCCCACATTCTTCTGGTAAAATAATCAGCAGCTACAATTATAAAGTATCTTTCTTCTTTAAACTCTATCAGATCTGTCCAATTTTCCCAAGTATCTAATTGTACTTATAAAGTCACATCCACCCCCGGTTTTCCTATTGTATTTTTTGAAAGTCTCAGAATTTCTGATCTTCTTTTCAATATGATCCTTAATATCAGGCCAATAATAATCATTTCTTAAAACATAATAAACTGCTGTTTTCCCTCTATGTTTTTAACTTAAATGGCGCTCTTTAATTAGCACCGCACCCCCCCCCCTTTTCTAGTTGTATCTCTTTTTCCCTGCCATTATCAAATGTCCAACTCATTTTACTGTCTTTTTCTTTTACATGCTTCATTACTTTACCTTCTACCTGTTTGTCTCTACTATTTTGGATCATCTTTTTCTTTTCTTTCTCTTCCTGTGTATAAATTATACTTAACATATCCGTTACTATCATCCCTTTCGATTTCCTATATTCAATAGTGAAGTCAAACTCCTGTATCTTTTCAACCCATCGGTTATTTCTATCATTTTCAAAGTCTGATTTGTTTTTGAATTTATCTAAAACATTGCGGCCAGTCTAAATTTTAAATTTTCTACCTCTGAGCTCATATTCAAATTTCTTTACCGCCCAAAAAAATGCACACATCACCGTTTTCGAAATAAAAATCACATTCATCGGGGTGAACTTCTTAGATTCCTACTAAAATGAAACCCATTCCCCTTTCTGATTTTTTTGTAATAATACTGCTTCCATGCCGATCTTGCTCACATCCGTTCTTAATAAAAATTCCTTATCATAGTCAGCAATTTGTAGTGTACCCAAATCTTTTAAACCCCCTTTCGTATTCTCAAACTCTACATTCATCAAACATGTTCATTTCCATTTTCTATAATCTTCTTTTAATTCGTCTGTTAAACTAATAGTTAGTCTTGCGCAGTATTTAATAAAATTTCCAAACCACCCGGTTAATCATAAAAATCGTCTAACGCCCGACACACACGCAGGCACAGGAAACTCCAAGCTTCATTATCATAATTCCGATGGTTTTATATCTATTCTATTTAATGTGATGCCTAAAGGCTTAACCCTTTCTCAAGAAAATTGCACTTTAGCTAAATTTATCCTCATGCTGTTCTCTCTGAGCCTCTTTAATGTTTCAATTACCAAATTTTCGTGTTCTGTAATGCCTTTTCCATCGACTACAATGTCATCCATATAAATATCTACTCTTTTCCCTCTTAAATCTCTGTCCATAATCCTTTGCAATATCTGGGAGGAGTTTTTTGACTTTATCACCATACTGTTCCATTCAAATACTTTCACACCATGTTCTTATACAGTCTTGTATTTATCACTTTCTTCAATTTCTATGCTATAAAAGCCTTTTTGGGGGACAAATATTGCCATACATCTAGATCTTTATGTTTCTCTAACTATGTCTCATAGATTCGCAAGTTTATATTCATATTTATTTACAATATCATTTAGAGCGATTAGATTGCTAACTAATCTTATCTCGTCGTTTGGCTTCTCAACAATCTAATAAAATTTTTCCATTCAGACGTCGATTCTCTTATTACTTTTTTTCCACCACATCCTCTAGATGTCATTCTATTCTTTCGATCAATTCTTGTGGTACTATCTATCCCCCTAATAACTTTTTCCCCCACCCCTGTCTCAATTTTGCATTTTTCTAGCTTACAATGTTTTATTTCACTATAACTGGTATCAAATACTTCCTTAAAATTATCAAAAATATTCTCTAAAGCCAACTTTCGTCTTTTACTTTCTCCTGTATATACCACATCTTTCTTAAATTTTTCTAGTTTAAATCTGCGTCTATTTCTCCTTTTCTTATAATCTTTCTCAGACATCAAGTTCGAATCACTAAAACTGTAATAACCAAAACTACTTGAATTATCTTTATTTAAATATCTCTTTTTGA